GCGCGGCGGCGGCGGCCGCGGCTCGGCCTGCGGGGCTCGTCGGCGTGCCTGGCCTGCGGTGCCGGCGGCCCAGCGGTGTGCGGGTTTTGCCCCATGAGCTCGGCGCTCAAGGGCCTGCTGCGCCTGATGGCGCCGCGCCCCGACCACCAGGCGCGCTTCGTCGCCGCCGGCGGCGTCGGGCTGCTGTTTGAGCTCATGATGCCCGAGGTCGGCCACCGCCACAGCCGCCTGATGCAGTCGCTCGCGTCGCTGCTCGCGCTCGCGCTGGCCGGCGGCTGCGGGGACGCGCAGGAGGAGGCGCGCGCGGCGGGCGGCGTCGACGTCCTCGTCGCGGGGCTGGCGTCCATGGCAGACGGCCGCGCCCCCGGCGGCGACGGCGGCGGCGAGTTTGACGTGTATCAGATCAGGTTTTCTCTGCTGAACGCGCTCGCGCTCTGCGTCGCCGGCAGCGACGGCAACAAGGCTGCGCTGCGGGAGCAGGCCGGGTTCGTGCCGCTGGTCGGGCTGCTGCGGCAGCTGCTCGCGCGGCGCGCGGAGGCGGGGGGGCCGGCTGACGTGGAGGATGAGGAGCACCTGGAGGCTGCCGCGCTGCGCGTGCTGGCCGCCAGCCTGGAGGGGTCCCCGGCGAACCAGGTGCGGTCCACGCGCGCGGGAGGCTGGCGTGCCGGCGCCGGACGTGCGCTGGGGTCTGCGCCGGCGCTTGGGGCGCTTTTGGCCCGGTGCTTGTTGCTGCACGGGGCTGGGCGGGACGCGTTTTCATGGAAGCGCTGTAGTGCAGTTGTGGACGGTATGACTGACCAGCATTTTTTCTGCTGCCGGCTCGCGACCGCAGGACATCGTGTGCAAGATGGGCGTCCCCCCGCTGCTGCTCAGCCTGCTGTGCGGCCCCCGCGCGTGCAGCGAGCCGCCGCAGCTGCGGCTGCTGTCAGCGTCGTGCCTGGGTCTGCTGGTGGAGCGGCAGCCGGCCGCGGCGGAGGCGGCGGTGGCGGCGGGGGCGGTGCACGCGATTATGGGGCGGCTGCAGCAGGAACCCGGCGGCGAGGAGGAGCAGGTGTGAGGGCGAGTGCGGGGGACATGCGGCGGACATTTGGAGGCAGTTGCGGCGGCACGGACCCAACAGGGGGCGTGTGTGCGGCGGGGGCTGGAAGCTGCCGATCGTGCCCATGGGTCGCGCATGGGCCGCAAATTCTGAGGGTAACCTTTGTTATTGTGGCACCATGCAGCCGTGGGTGCCTCTGCTGTGCTGTGGGGCGTTGCCCACCAGGCGCCTGCGGCCCCTGATCCTTTCCCTCACTTGCCCCTCGCCCATCCCATCGCATCCTCAATGGAACTTGATCATGACCACTCAGTTTCTTGATTCTGCAACTCCATGATTTATCATTCGTCCCACAAACTCAACTGTTCCGCAGGACCTGCTAAAAGCGCTGGCTCGTGTGCTGCGCGGCGGCGGCCCCTCCGGCCGCCGCGCCGCGATCTCCATGCGTGCCGTCCCCCTCCTGGTGCGCCTGCTGGCCTGCGCGCCCCCCGGCCCGGAGGCGCAGGCGGCGGCGGACGCGCTGGCCGAGATCGCGGCAGTTGATGCAGAGACGCGGTCCCAGATCGTCCACGCGGGCGGGCTGCAGGCGCTGATGGAGCGGCTGGAGTCGGACGCGGCCGCGGCGGGCGGCGGCGGCGCGGACGAGCAGCAGCAGCAGCAGCAGCAGCAGCAGCAGCAGCAACAGCAGCAGCAGCAGCAGCAGCGAGGCGCGGGCCAGGCGGCGGGGGCAGCAGGCAGCGACGGCCGGCTGCAAACAGAGTCAGGGGCCGCAAAGCCTCTCGGCACAACCACAAGCAAGCCCGCCGCGCTGCCCGCGCTCGCGGCGGCGATGGAGGCCGCCCTCACAAAGGCGGCCTGCTTCCGCCTGCTGAGCGCGCTCGCACAAGGCAACAGCTTCGCGAAGAACTCGGCCCGCCAGGCGTCCATTTTCGAGCTGCTCGCCGCCCTGCTGGCCAGGCTTCAGCCCGAAGTCGAGGGCGAGGCGGCGCGCGACGCGGCGTCCGCGGCAGCCGCCGAGCAGCTGGCCGCGCAGCTGCAGCAGGCGCACCACGGGCGCGCGCTCTCGCGCGGCGGCGGCGGCGGCGGCGGCGGCGGCGGCGGCGGCGGCGGCGGCTCGTTGGGGCGCCACAGGCGGGTGCCTTCTGACCTGGAGGAAGGGCCGTCGCCCGCGCAGCAGCGGCAGCAGCGCCGCGACGCGCGCCGCGCCGCGGCGGCCACGGCGGCGCTGCGGCGCGCGGAGCTCGAGCTCTGCGCCTCCGCGGCGCAGTGCTGCGCGGACATTTGTCGCGGAAACCATGCGAATCAGGACAGCATGGGCGCGGGGGGGCTGATCGAGCGGGCGGCGGCGCTTCTTGCGGCGGTGGTGGGGGCCGGGCTCGACGCCGCTGCGCGCGCGGCACCGCTGGTCGGCGGCTTGTGTGACGCGCTCGCCGCGGCGGCCGAGTTCCATGCCGCGAATAAGGTCCTCGCGCGCGAAACGGGCGCGGCGGACGCGGTCGCGCGGCTGCTGCTGCTGGCAGGCGGGGCGGGCGCGGCGGAGCTGCGGCGGCCGGGGGTTGCGGGCGCGCTGGCGGCGGGGTGCGGCGCTGTGCTGTCGCTGGTGCAGGTGGGCAGTGGGGCCGCGGCGCGCACGTGCCCTCCGATGTTGTAGGGCACAGGGACGCCCGCCGCTGCCACCCCTCAACTCAGCTGCACGACTGCGGGACCCATCGATGCCGGGTTTCTCTGGGGCGTGTGCCTGGGTTGCTTGGCCCACAGGGTGTTCCGTCAACCCCCCAGATTTTAAACACCAAACACTGTAGCCCTTGGGTTTCATGATCACCACCATCATCCATCAATGCGAACCCGCCGCAGGACTGCGAGGAGAACCAGCGCGTGTTCGCGCGCCACAGCGACGGCGCCTTTGTGCCGGCGCTGTTCCGCCTGATGGCCGCGGGCGATGCGCACCTCGCGACGCAGGCCGCAAAGTGAGGGCGGGGGGCAGGCGGGTCGACCACCCTGGCAGCTGGCAGCAGCAGGCGCGGGCAGTACCATGCTCCCGGCGTGCTAAACGGTGTCTAGCCCCTCTGCACCCCCGGCAGCACGCCGGCCCCTGCCTGCCACGACCCCTGCTTGTTGCGTCCCCGCTTTTCTCCCACGCCCCTAGTCCAAAAAAGGCTAAGCGACTCTCTCAGCCTCTACCCGCCTCATCAGCCGACCACACACACACATTGCAGCCTGCCCTCTGCGTCCCCCAACCCATCGCCTCGCAACCAACTGTACGTGTGTGTGTGTAACCAACATCCACGCCGCGCTGCACACCCCAAAGGGCCCTCGAGTATGTGGCCATAAGGGCGGACCCCTCTGACGACGCCGATGACGGCGGCGGCGACGCCGGCGCTGACGTGCTGCTCGCCCTTATCAAGCTGCTGACCCTCGGCGCCTCCGCCGCGCCCGGCGGCCTCGGCGGCGCCGCCGCGCCGAGCACGGCCGCGCTGCTGCGGGCCGTGTCGATGGGCGCGGGCGCGGGCGGGGCTGGCGGCGGCGCGGCCGGGGAGGCGGCCGAGGGCGGCGGGCCGACGGTGGCGATGGTGCGGGA